GCGGTCAGCCTTACATGTAGATAGGCTTCACAGAACAGTACAATGTAGGTACGTGGGAGCATGTCTCAAATCCATGCCTTGCACACCACACTTGAGCCGGAGACATTCAATACTTGGGTGGTTAGTATGCGTATCCGAATAGCTTGACGACCAATGTAGAAGTGTAGTGGTGAACATTCTTCGTCTGATATTGGTTTTCGAACAGAGACGGGTGGGGCTGGCCTGGTACTGGACAGGTACGTCAGTAGATCATCTGCTGTCACATTTTTCTAACCGTACATAAGCCAGGGGTTATGATTGTACTCTTGGTATACAGTACTGACCTGTTGTTGTGTGCTGCTCGTGTCCACTGTAGTGTACTAATGCCTTCAGGGATGGTGGAGTACTGCCGAGCGCACAAAGACAAGTCCGTGCAGGATGTACTGCACGAACACCTTGCGAACAACAACTTGATCGTGGATGCCATCAGTATATCTGTTGAATTGGTAAGGAAATTGGCACAGCGAGCAACTCAGCAGGGCCGCTGCCCTAGGGTTCTCGGATCACTCCATGTTATTCGATAACACCATGTTTATGTATTGCACCCAACTCAATTTGGGTGTTCATGTTCTCTCTACAATAGGTACAGTCTGTAACAAAGACTGCATGTCTCCAATACCAGCACCCTGCATATATCCGTTCTACATGCACATATATTGCACATCAAAAATATCGGCAACAGTCGTCAACTCGATAATGACACTGTGACACCTCTCCGTCCTCAGTTTTTCCCAACAGCCAAAATGTCCTACCAGTAGAACATTGTTCTAGACATGTGTACAGTGTCACTCAAAAGGAACCATGTGGTGAAACAAGATGGGCTAGTGAAATCACGGAAGCACAGTCTCCAGTAAAAGGCACGGACTCGAGGGAGCCGGTTGGAGAAAGAAAGATGTGTGTGTGTGTGTGTGTGTGTGTGTGTGTGTGTGTGTGTGTGTGTGTGTTACGTGTAATAGCTAATACTAGCTGTGTGCAATCATCATGATGGCAAGCGGCTATTAGCAAGACATGATTCATGTCTTGTTTACTGTAGATTGTCTTGGGGTGTATTACTGTACTAGGAATGGTGTTCTCTTTTTACCTTTAAAGATTTCATGAACGGATGTGCCCTGTTTCCTGTTGCCAACTGCAGAAAGATGGTGAGAAGGAGCTCATCGAGCCAGGCACCGGATCGTTGGCCATGGCTGACAGACAGCTTATTATTGAGATCACTAACCCAGCAGGTATGATCACTGTCCAGAGTCACAAAGTCACATGGCTATCTATTGTCACATGACAAAGAGGTTCTCTTTAGCCAGTGGGGAGGGCTCAACACACTATTGTGGAGCACTATTACACACGAAAGGCAGAAAGGAGGTTTGTAGAGTTTGTCTCAACTCCGACGGTACAAACTCTACAAACCTCCTTTCTGCCTTTTGTGTGTAAAGTCATGTGACTAAAATCACATTGCTATCTCATGTTACATAACTAAAGTAATATGCCTTAAATACGGTTAAGTTTAAAAAAAGGTCACATGACTACCAATCATTATGAGGATTGTACAGCTAGATTCATAGAAAGCAGAGCTTCAGTAATAAACTGTGGTAGTGCAGACACATGAAAAGTACTGTTTTCCCTGTGCTCTTCCAGCAATGCTTTCCCATACAAGTGTTCCCAGCTCTCCTTCATCATCAACCTCCCCTACCTCCCCTCTTGCTGGCGGCAGTGGTGGCGGTGGGGCCTCCGTGAAGCGTACCACCAGTTTCAAGTTTTCGTTTGCCCGAAGACGCTCACATATAAAATCTGCAAGAAGTGCGTCGATAGATTCGTAAGTTTAAAACAAGTTTGGTTTCTTTCTCTTGCACAACTACACCTACAGTAGTACATTTATCACTGTAACACTGACCAGCATTCAGGGATATATTTGTGTTATCACTGTAACGCTGACCAGCATTGGATATATTTGTGACATTCTACAGGTGGTTTTGCACTGGAGGTACTCTCACACTTTTAAGTTAGATGATCCCCATGCAGTTATTTTCTTATGTGTATGTGCATACACACACACATGCATGTGTGTGTGTATGCGTGTGTGTATGTATGTTCTGTGAGTACGTTGACGGTTTACCCCTTTGTTTGTTCCTTCAGGACTGATAGCCTGCTTACTTCTGACAGCACCCAGACACTTCCGAAAGGGTTCCGTACATCCGTTGGCAGCATCACCAGTGCCACATCCTCTTCATCCCTTTCTGAGAGAAAGACCAGCGGAGGAGATGCGGTGGGATCAGAGAGCCCCAGCAAACGTCACGATCGAGTGTCAATTGCAGAGGAGCTCGATGACCCAGCCAGTCCTGCCCACGGTAAGATGAGGAGCAGTAACACCTGTTGTACGCAATGTCATGTACATGCATCTTCCTTTGGACATCGGCTCTTCGACACTGCAATTGTGGATGGGTAAATCTATGAAGGGGAGGGGTGGGGGAAGACCACCTATATTTATATGAATTTGAAAGTGAGGTCTGCTCTGCCCTTCTGGGTATTGAGCACTTTGGTTTGATTAATAGTCCATTTTTGCCAATCTAGCACGGAGCCCCTGTACCCAACGTGTAGGTTTGGGTTTGGGGTTTGAAGGCCATGGCATAAGTTACAGACACGATGGCAGTATTACGTCTTCACCCTCTACGGTTAGTATATAGCAGCATGCTGATTATCTGCACCCCTCGAGGCTCGGGGGCCGTCTCCAGATGGTTTGCATAAGGAGTATGTTCGTTATATGAACGTAAAAAACGCCTATCTACAGCATGCACATTCCCTCCTGTTCTCAATATTCCACATTCTCGTTATCCTTCGGCAGTACCACAGGAGTATGACATGTTTCAACTCCGTGGAATCACGCACAGGCATACTGTCTGATGAAAGCCTTCTGTCATGCATCATGACTGCACAGCTCTGCTATGGTGCTGTGAGTGGGGGGGATTAAACTCATATTTCAACTCAAGTCAGCGCTACCCAAAGTATCATCTTGGATACATATCAACGCACAAGATTGGATTGTCTTGACTGAGCCAGCATCCAGCCAGCCTGGAATGTATGGAAATAGTAATGTGGACAAGATTGTGGCCTTCTTCCTTTGTTTGTTTGTTTGTAACTGCAGATCTCCTGGACATGCTTGATCGCATGCAAAGTACTCGCCTGGATAACCAGAGGGACGCATCAATGGTGTCAAGACGCTCTGGTGTCAGCATGCCTTCGTCGCCACTGGGTTTTGCAAGTCCGGTACACAGCAAGAGTGCATCCATGACCACGTACAGCAGTCTGCCACGCAAGTTCAGCATGGGTTCGCATGACACCAGCGGCATGTCCGGTTCTCCATCCGTGTCCGGACGATCCGCACCCACCTCGGCCCATGTGGCATCAGATCGAGAAGGCAGGGGCGGAAACGGATTCTTTCCAGACGACGACAAGAGCACAGTGGATGGAGGCAACCGTCGGCGATCCAGTGAGACTGAGAAATATATCTCTGTACCAGGTCTGGACTTCACCAAAACTTCTCCAACCAATCACCCTCCTGGCTACTACTCACTGGAACGAAAGCCAAGATCAAGCTCTCTGCAGGGCCCAGAGGAACTGCGACGAGCTGCATCAGTGGCGAATGTTGACACTCCTCAGAAGCAGTCCAGCCTCGACCGGCGTATTCGTCAGAAACTTGCCATGTTGAAGCCTAAAGGAAGTCCACTCTCTTTTAGTAGTGGCTTGTTGGCCGATCCTTCGCAAGGAAGAGAGAAATCAAGGAGTCAGGAACGAATGAGCAGTGCCGGAAGAGCAGCAAAGCCTTCCAGTCCAGATGCACGACCGGAAAGACCCTCTTCGGGTAAGGCAAGGGAGAGACCGGACCATGTGGAGGACTTTTTCCGCAGCTTCAATCCGCGAGTGCGCAGTGTTGTATAGAAACAGCCAACACAGACGACCAGTGAACACCCTAAAACCGATACCATTATTCTTGTTATGGACCTTGCATTATTCCACGAGCTTGAGCTTGATCAGAATCGGTTTAACTGAGTTTTATTATTCTTGATTTTTGGAAAAAGGAGGTGATCTTGAACCGGACTGAATGCATCTCTTTGCCTCTCAGACAATGCCCATCACAGCCCATATCTCTATGTTACTGTATCACACATTTCCGCTGTCTTGCCACGAGGGAACGTTTTTCAGTTCAACTGCTATAATCGAGCTGTAGATAACAGTACCGCCATCATTTGTATTCCATGCTTCCCCCTTTACTACAGATCCTTTCGACTGATGCATGTCTAAGTTATGACTTCAAAAAGAAACATCTCCGCAGTAACACATAGCATGTTGGTGAAGAAATAAGTCGCATTTCCACTGCTAGTGAGAGGGCTGGTTTTGACGATATGAGCAAGGCAGTGACTGAGAAAGCAGAGTAACAAACAGCGATGAAATGATCAAAGTTGAATGATCCAAGTAACACGTTAGTTGAATGATACAAGTATCACAATGAGACCTCAATCTCGTCGCCATCTTGCTTTGAGTGTGTGCATGGCGCATAGCCATTTGGATCACATGCACAATTCTGTATTGAGGTTGTGTCGGATCACGCTCACATTATACATATTATGCGTTGTGCGGAGTGGCAAAGCCATGGTGCAGTGGTGGCTAGTGCTGGTTTCCACAGCACTGTTTGTTTTGTCATTCAATACTTTGAGACCTTTGAGGATGCGAATGAGTCTCTCACACTTTTTGTATGGTTCACTTGACATCCATTGTCATCCTTTCTCACCTTTATACTTCAAAGGACTTCGAAATGACTTGTTCAGACGTGAAGCAGATCTCAGTAGTGGCCTCAGCAGACTATGCTCTGCTTCGTCTTGTGCTGGACAATCTAGTGATTCACAACTGCAAGACTAATCGGCTGGTGGATTTACTGTACTAACGTTCCATAATCCGTCCTCTCGTTTTGATGGCAGCAGCATTGACAGCATGACGATGATTTGCGAGCAAGATTGAAACTGCCACTCTCTGCCTCCACCGGGACTCGGATACTTGTACAGATCACTGATCTGCAGATACTTGTATAGATCAGTGATCTGATCGCCCGTGCTACGACTCCAGTACGAGCATGTCCTTGATGCCAATGATGGTGTATCTACTCTTGATGATACGGTTCAGATCAAAGCTGTCGATCAGGGAGTATAATAATATTGGCAGTCTTCTGACGAGCCAGGAGATGTTGAATTAATAATAATAATAATAATAATATTAATACGGCCTCATGATCGACACCGGTGCACCTTTGCAGCAGGGAGTAATACTAGTACTCCCTGGCCTGCTTTGCAGCTTTGATCTGACCCGTATCAAGATCATGTCCTTCGCAAATGGATCGAGCCTGTTGGGGTCTAGACGTCTAACACTTATAGGTCAGGTCAAAGGGCAAGGGTTCATATAACCTGATGTGCCATATAAATATAGGGATCCCAGATAGCACCTCCGGTTAAGTTTTGGAATTGCCGAGCTCGTGAGCTACTTGTAGGTCGGTCCCGTAGGCGTCACACAAGGTCTGGTTCAGTTGTGGCTTAGGATCCGAGCCAGTTCCTCCCTGTTTGGTGTGTTCGCAGTCGGGTTTCAACGTGGTTTTCGTGTGAGTGGACCATCTGGATCATAAAACGTGAGGGAACGGCTCCTTGATCTGGACCTTCGCTTGACACCTTCTTTTTTTCTTCTCTCCCCCCCCCCCTTTTTCCCTTTCCTTCCGGGCAGCAGCAGGTGGTGTTTGATCGTTGAGGCAGTTTACATGCAGTACAATGAGCAGGAATACAGTCATGTATACCTGTAGGACACAGGACAGGTCGGCCGTCCTCTCATCCTTGCTGTGCCGTCTCGACACCCACGGCGTTCCCATCCAAGTCGTGGTCTTCGGTTTGGTCCATCGGCAAGGCATGATGGTTGTTGCCCGTCGGTGGTCGTTCTACTTATGGGTTCATTACTGGCACTGGAAACTCGAAGGACCGTCCTCGATCCGAGAACGATGAGAATATTGATACAAGTACATGGATAGTTCGAGAGCAAATACTGATACGTTGGCGTATACCAGTGAGTGACGGTCACCACACAACAACGCCTCAAAATTCCCTTTCAGTGGATGCATGAAGAGCGAGCCTGGAATGAAGAAGCAAGAGCGAGCAGCTCTGATGCTGAAATCATGGGAATCATCACAGGCCCAGAGACGAGGGGTGTCTCCGCACTGTTAGGTTTGGAAAGAAGTACCACCACAATAGATAGTAGTATTCTTGGCTGACGCGAGGAAAAGGAAACGCCAGTCATAATTAATATTAATTATGATGACAAAATGACGGCAAGGTTTACTCGAACCAGAAAAAAGTAAGAGAGAAAAAGAGAAAAAGAAGAAAAAAAGAAGGTGCTAATCGAAGGTCCAGATCAGGGAGTCGTACTCAAACTCCCTGACCGAAACTCATCACCATAATAATATATATGTACATGCCACTTTCACCATAAATGACTACAGAAAAAAAGCTGCTGGTTACGATCATGTGATGGGTAGCAGGAAGAAACACACAGAAAACCTACCGCAAGGTCTTATCCGCTGAGCAGTCATCTGCGGGGGCTTTTGGTCACTTCGACAGGTAGAGGTGAAGAGACATTCTGACTACAAGCAGACGCTGCCCGCACCCAGTGCCAACAGAAGTCGACAAAACGTGCAAATAATGCAAGTTGTATACCGTCATCTGCGTAGCATGACAAGGACACAGTTGAACAGTCAAATAAACTGAAGATAACAAATCTGTAATGAAAGGGAAGACATGGGTCAGTTCTCGCTTTGAATACTCGAAGTACGTTATTTCACAAAGAGTCAGTACGAAGAATGTATAAACCGATTTTGATGGGGAACAAAAGAATGTGAATTTCCTTTTAAAATATCAGACTTCCATCTGAGTACCTGGACAGGGGACTGAACAACTACTAGCACTTTAATTAAAGGGGAAGTTAAGGCAAAAATTAAAATTTCACCAGTTGTAGTCTTCGGGGTGCTGAGTCGAATGGTCTTGGTCCGAGAAAGCTGAGACGCTCCCTTCCTACTTGAATCCCAATCGAACTCGCGCACTTCCACCGAAACTGGGTGACTGCGCCCTACGAGATGGGGATTTGTATGCAAAATGTCATTAAAAGCGCCATTTCGTTCTTATAAAAGCACGGATGACCGCGATTGGCCCATATGTTGTAGTCTTTTGGACGCTGAGTCGACTGGTTTTGGTCCGAAAAGGCTGCGATGCAGCGTTCCTCCTTTATTCCCAATCGAACATGGTTGAACAAGCGGTCACGTGCTCCTGGGTGCCAAAATCACCTGGTCACCACGCCAGCAGGCGACAACTTTCACTCCAAGGTTCAACTCGAGTGACAGGACTGCACCCAAAAAAGGTCAAAACAGGCTGTAAGTTGTACCCTGCAGGCACGGTGACCAGGTGACTGGTGTACGCAGGAGCACGTGACCGCTTGTTCAACCATGTTCGATTGGGAATTAGGGCCGAACGCTGCATCGCAGCCTTTTCGGACCAAAACCAGTCGACTCAGCGTCCAAAAGACTACAACATATGGGCCAATCGCGGTCATCCGTGCTTTTATATGAACGAAATGGCGCTTTTAGTGACATTTTGCATACAATTCCCCATCTCGTAGGGCGCAGTCACCCAGTTTCGGTGGAAGTGCGCGAGTTCGATTGGGATTCAAGTAGGAAGGGAGCGTCTCAGCTTTCTCGGACCAAGACCATTCGACTCAGCACCCCGAAGACTACAACTGGTGAAATTTTAATTTTTGCCTTAACTTCCCCTTTAAGAACTTCCATCATGTACAAGACATGTATACCGGTATCCTAATTACAAGAATAAAAAATAAAATCCTCAAAATGCTACATAAAAACTCACCATACGAAACCTGTGAAATTTCAACCGCCTTTCCCACAGCAGCAAGCCAAAGCGGCCTTATAACAGTCGGACAAGCACGGAGTACTCCCAATGCCATGCGTGATGCATTCATTGTGGGCCTGGCGAGGCAGCTCTGTACCTCACGCGACACAGCCTCCAAGAGATCCACTACATTCTTCTCGCTTGCAGGCAATTGCTGAAGTTTACATATTATTTCAGCGTGTTGTGGGCAATGCCTACGGAAGCTGGAATTAGCCAATTCCCCTTTGCAAACAGTTTCAAAAAAAGATAGACAGAGAAAATGAATTGCGTTGAGCAATGAGAAGGAACTGTTTCAGTCTGAAAAAATTCTCACCTTGACACCACTCCCAAAACACCTTCAGATCCACAACGACATGCTTTACTGCTAAACTGCACACGGTCTCATCACTGCTGCTGTTGTCATCGCTGCTATCAAGAAGTTCGGACATGGCAGGAGGTCAAAAATAAAGTCACCTGCCAGTCTTTCGAAGAATACTGTTGCATGCAATCTCTCCACAACATGAAGTTGCCTCCTCAAAAACAATAATTATTATTAGTAGTATTTCGAGAACAAGACACATAACATCTGATCCTGAGTATTCATAATCATGGTGGTAAACACGCACCTGCCAATGTGGCGGTAAATACACGCCGGATAGATCTACTGAATTCAGTACTTGGCACGCTTGGAGCTGAGGTACACGCTGCTACACTGTAGAAGGATTCGTGTTTGACCTTTCGGACTTACGGACTGGACTGGACTGAATTCAACTTAGTATTCCAAAAATAACAACGAGGGGTTACGGGTACGAGCCAACCCCTGTGACACGGATTTCTGTGCCGTGTCACCTCCCTAGTACAGTACAGTTTGAGTACGACTACCAATTTGTAGTGCTGCCTTCTCGATACATACGTATGTACACTGTATATCATATGCACATTCACATGTCTGAAGGTTTGTGGTTTTTCAATAAAAAAATAAATAAAATAAAAAAAGTGTCGACTCCCGGCCTGGTCCAGATCAAGGAGCCGTTCCCTCACGTTTCATGATCCAGACGATCCACTCACACGAAAACCACGTTGAAACCCGATCAAGGTGCTATCTGGGATCCCTATATCTATATGGCACATCAGGTTATATGAACCCTTGACCTTTGACCTGACCTGACTGACCTGTTTGTCCTCCGGACCTGAACCGAGCCTGTTTGGGCCTGAAGTCATACTCAAGTAATAAGTGTGCCCCCGGCCCTCGAAGAAGCTCGGTGCATTTTGTTATCATCGTGCAACACTTATCAGCAGGGAGTAGTATTACTCCCTGCTTATTAGTACAGTCTGTATCGGCTATAGCGTACCCTTTTGATTTCCGTGATTTTATCACTATAACCGATGCATCACTATATGCGATACGATCGATTTTTTTCGAGCGACACATGAAAGGCAAGGAAATACTTCCAGCATGGCGTTTTGACAAATGAGCATGCTGCATAGTTGACAGTGCCCGCATTTCCATAAAAAAATTCTGTTATGTACATGAACATGTGTCACTATCAAAATAAGCAACGTGAAGAAAGTAAAAAAATAGGGCCTTTGATATTATTGTTACATGTATTTTAAAGTTATCACTATAGCCGATAATAATATAGTGTGTTATGCATGTTTTGATTCTTTGTTGCCATCATAATATCCGATATATCATTACATCCGATAATATTGGTTATAGTGATATTTGTACTGGATAAAATACGTTTTGCTTTTGATATTTCGTACCAATATCACTGTAGCCGATATATTCTTATATCCGGTCACTCTATAGCCGATACAGACTGTACAGTCCGTATCGCCTATAGGGTTGGCGGCTATGTAATATACCGGATATAGTGATCAATTTCTCAAATTCATTTTCATTTGCCATAACTAAGTATACACAGTTATCGCGTATAGTAATAATCGTCTATAGTAATATATCGCCTAGAGTGATCAAATTCATATTTCAAAAAACGTTTATTACACTATTTTTGCATCGGTTATAGTGATTGATGTAAAATCAAGCGATGTCAGAGGAGAACAGAGTGTTACTTCTTCGTGAAGAACTTGTCCAGTGACTGTTGTTGGGTGAGTTTTGCTTGTACAAGTTGCCAAAATATGCCTCCATCATGAGGAAATCCTGATTTTGTGTGTCAGGAGCTACAGCCAGCTACATGACATTGTAATTGTACATGTACATGTACATTGTATGTAGTGCGTATGTGCACGGCGCGCTGAGTCGTTTGACACCCCACTCGCATACATTGCATGCAGTATCGGTCATAGTACATGTATATCGCTTATAGTGATAAAATGCTCAAAATCAAACACCAACGCTATAGGTGATACTGACTGTAATTTCAGAAATTTTCGGTGTACTTTTATTTTCGGTACTTTCGGTGCGTCTGTTTCATACCTAAAATTTCAATACACCGAACAAACACTAACACACATAAACCAATAGGGAACTGCTTCTCTGTACCGAAAATTTCTGTTCACCTAACCTAGCCTGTTGCCCTCATACCGAAAATATTGAGCACCGAAAATTTCTGAAATTAGAGTAGATATCTACTCTTGGTAATACTAATAAGCAGGGAGTAATATTACTCTTGGTATTACCAAGGCCAAGAGTAGATAAACACTCTTGGTATTACTTGCACATTGTACCAAGAGTAGATAAGTATCTAATATTGACTGAGTACGAGGTCAATATACATGTAGGAAATAAAAGCCGAGTAAAAGACCGAGGCGAAGCCGAGGTCTTTTACGAGGTTTTTATTTCCTATACTGACCAAGTACGAAGTCAATATTAGATTTATCACGACAAACAGTCCAGTCCTCATGAATCCTGGTTTTATGATTGCACAACCGTTGCACCACTACCTACTCATACAGTGACAATGCTGCACTAGGCACCGTTCAACTGCGCAACCCCTAAGCAGTCAAATATAAGCAGTCAATATAGCCCTAGTGAAATCCTAAAAAAAAAAGAAGTTTATATACCAGTTTATACACCAGTTTATATACCAGTTTATATACCAGTTTATATACCAGTTTATATTCTCGTCATCGAAGTACCTGTTATATGCAAAATACAAGTCTGGAGTGTTGTGTGGGGAGAGATGGGAGTTTGTATACAAGCTCAGTATAATCCTGCTTATATGACTGCTTAGGTATAGCGAACATCAATGGGAGTCAATACTAAGGAAGTGATAATCATGTTTATCTACTCTTGATTGTACTTACTGATACCGACTGTCGACACTCCTAAGTGCTGAGTCCTAACATTTCCTTTTCTTCACGTCAGCCAGGGATACTATCTAGGGCTGAGTCGGGTAGCATTTTCTTCGGGTATCGGGTCCGGGTTTTTTTTCCACGGGTAGCACGGGTACCCGATAGGGTAATGTTTCCATGGTAAGACCACAATGCAGACCGGTCCCACGTCCACACTGGCACTGGGTAGACATGCGTATTTGTACAAGTCTGTCCCTGCGGGAATTTGCGGAAAAAACTCTCGAAAACTTGCGCAAGAAATTGCGGCAGAAAGTAACAAAAAATGCGACGAAAAGTGCGGAATGTTGCCCTACGTGGCATGTGTAGCACTCTGCTCTCTGATTGCTTCTGCCTTCGTTCTGCCACAACACACACAGCTGCCCGTACACGTTCCCAGTCCATAGATTCACTTACTCTGCCTAAAGCACGCAATCGTTATGGCTTATTCGCTTTGAGCTTTCTGGCTTCTGACCGCTGGAATTCTCTTCCAGCTGACATTCGCTCTTGCTCCTCGCTTTCACTATTCCGCAAATCTGTACGTGATCACATAGGGTACCCTGTAAAAAGGCCTTAGGCCTGTGGGGATTGCCCTATTGAAAATTTAAATAATAATAATAATAATAATAATAATGCAGAACTTGCCAGGAAATCGCGGAATTATTTGCAGAAAATTGCGGATTTGGGCCAAATCAGGAAATTTGTTGCATCGTATATCTACTCGGGAGTCGTACTGTGCAAATAACCTACAGGATCATGGAAAGAACTGCGTGAAAAGTGCATAAAAATGTGAGATATAGAATGCTGCAGACAGATCTCTTGAATCTGGAGGACTTCCTCAGCGAGCGGGGACTGGTGCTGAATCCCAAAAAGTCTCAGCTACTGCTGCTCAGACGACCTACTGCGCAACTGGACGTGATCCCCAGCATCACCTGCAAAGGCACCGTAATCCCCGAGTCCAGCCATGTTCTGTACCTTGGCCTCCTATTGGACTCGTCGCTCAGCTTCGAGCAGCAGGTTGAGCGTGTGTGCGCAAAGGCACAGTGCAAGGTTGCCTCATTCCGCCACGGGCGCCGCGATGTCTCCATGACCGGCCGCCGCATGTTTTACCTGACAATTGTCCAGAATACCTTGGACTATGCCAGCACATGTTATGTTCACTGCTTGTCTGCTAAACTCAGAGACAAACTTGAGTCAACCAGCAATAGGTGCCTAAGGCGAGTGTTTGGCCATGATCAGTATACTTCTATCGATTTCATTCTCACCAAATATAACCTGTATACTTTCTCTCGCCGTGTAAACTACTTGAAGCTGTTTGTGTTTGTTTTTAGGTGTCTATCTCATTGCACCAGTCCTCTTTTAAGCACGATATTTACCCCCCGCTCTGCATCCTGCCGCACAAATGCTGCTACCCGCGGTCAAGCTTCAGCCGCTCTGAACCTACCCAGAGCTACGTCTCGTTACGGCCTGAATGCTATTTCATTTTTGGCAGCAGACAGATGGAACATGCTTCCACCTGGATGTCGTCAAGCTAAGCCCCTTTCTGCATTTGTCACAAGCACCAAGTCATTCCTAGGGTTCCCAGTAAAAAGGCAACGCCTGTTGGGAGTTCCCTAGTAAAAATAAATTCTACTACTACTACTACTACTAGATATAGTGCAGAAAACAACAAAAAACGCGGGAAATAGCGGATTTTGCTGAAAATCGCGGGTTTGGGCCCAAATCGCGAAATTTGTTGCATCCGTGGAATTGCGATTTCCAGGAGGGACAGACAAGTGCACTCTAGACCTCTCACTCTCTCTACTCCTTCTACATGATGTCATCTGCGACTTCGGGTTTTCGGGTATTCGGTACCCGTCTACCCGAGGTCCTCACGGGTAGCACGGGTAGACTCTCCCCGACTACCCGTGCACACCACTAATAGTAATACTAATACTATAGTCTATCAGCCAGTGGTGCCAAAGTGAGTCCCCTGTTGCACTTACAAATCGAACACCTGGAACTGACATCAATCGACAGCAAAAGCATCACTGAATCCAACCTGCCTACTTTCCCTGGCGAAACTCTTGCACTCCTTTTACAGTGCGCCTTGGAAGTTCGACAAATTTCTTCTTCTTCATCAGCCATTACGAGGTTTTCCATCCGTTTTATCAGGACATCCAATGCGTCTTCAGTGAAAAACGTGGAGTTTTGTCAACGTTTGGTGTGGTTTTCCGTGGTGATCGACCTAAAATCGCGAAATAAATCGCCGTCGATTTGAGCAGAGGTGAGTTGGCTTGGAGCACGTACAGATTCAAAAAATATGTGTACATGCGCACCGGGAAGAAGATGAAGATGCTCACCATTTTCAAATAACTAATTCAAAAACTACATGACTATTGTCAAGAGTGGACTCTTGCTATTGTACTGCAATTGTTGTAGTTACTTGTTTGCAACTACAATGGTATCAAGTAGATAATCAAGCGAGGTACACAGGGATTGATGGCTGATCAAAGCCCAAGGGACCAGCCCAAGGGCTTTGATCAGTCATCAAGCCCGACTGTACCTCGCTTGAATATGCTTCAGACGATCCCCAACAATTTTTTTGATTTTGAATTCAATCGCTTTATTCTTTGGGTGATCTCGAGTGTGGTAGATAGTACTTCGAAGTAGTACAACTGTAACTGTACTACTACCTGGTTGCAACATGTTCAAAGCAGCCTTGCCTTTATTTCAACTGTTTGCTGTCAGCATCCAGAGCCATGGCGTTTGCTAGTCGGTCGTAATGGAGAAGAGAACTGCAGGGCATTCACTCGATGTACAACATCCATCGCCGCAGATTCCTTACTTTTAGCTCTCCACGTTCCTTATTTTTCCAGGGATCAGGACCTTCCCGGGGTGATTCCATTCAGGGTGGAAGCGTAGATCACACTTTTGCCAAACAGTAAAAACTACGCTTCAAACCTGCTTGACATGACTCGGGGTGCACACTTCGGAAACCCGAAGGTGGATGATGTTTAATACTAGCTCATTGTAATCTTCCTGAAGGTATGTATTCGGATGCTCAATTAAATAGAACAGTGAAAGAGATGTGTAATGGAACAACACTCTACAACTTTAGGCGAACAACAATTTTATTGTATTTGAATCCAGGCACACGTGTAATACGGAAACTGCAATGGTTTACACTGCAAATCTTCTCGATGTGCAAGATTTTTCCCGTAATTCACAAAAATCTGAAAGTTCATTCCTGAAACGCGCATGGCACTGATTGGAGATTGGGTTTAGGTCACAACAATGGCTGTCGATGAAATGCCAAAAATGGTCACTTTGTCGGCTTCCCCCTGCAGAGCGTGCAAGTCGTTTACTCTTTTTATTTGCGGATTCGGTGTACAGGGTACCTAACCTCCCCATTGAGGCCAAAATCAAGTATTCGATTTCTAAGTGCAACAGGGTGCTTGAATTTGACGACTTCTGAGTTCTTGGCTGATGGACTACTATCTATGGCGGTACTTGAGAACGGTTCTATGGCGGTACTACTTCGAAGTAGTATTACTATTAGTATTTTAGTATTAGTGGTACTTCTGTTCAAATCTAACAGTGGTGGAGACACCCCGCTCGTCACTGGGCCAGTGGCGATTCCTAATTAAGATTTTCAGCATCATAACTACTCACTCGCTTCTTCATTTGGACATTCCAGGCTCGATCTCCAGCATCCGCTGAAAGGTAGTTTTGACTGGACCACCTGGTGTGTAGTGGTCATCACTCACTACAGTGACAGTGTGTAATATGTGCTTCGATGTTCTTCTTCTTTTCTCTTTCATCCCTGGCTGGTCTCGATCGAGGAGGCAGTTTACATGCACTGGAAACTCGAAGGACATCTCTCGATCCGAGAACGATCAAAACAACGGAGCAACTGCTGATACACTGGAGTACATTTGTAATTAGTGGTGACTCAAGACTCAAAACTCGGCGATGGTGACAGTGATGGTGATGTTCACGTCAGTTCATTTGTATTCATTACCCAAGACAGCACATTTCACAGGAGAGTGGCTGATCATACACAGTACGCTATACAAGTACATCATTTTGTGAATCAGGGATTTTGTCAGGATTCGCCAAAATGATTATATAGGGGATATTGCAAGATGAATTAAGGGCAATGGCTATGAGAGCACCACTGTTCAAATGTTAAATGCCACTACATTGTAATGATGACCTCATTATGACAGATGTTATCAGAAATCTTAAAAGCCAGTGCACGAGAAAGGCTAATGGTAGGTTTAGCTTCAAGAAGTTGGCATGACAACATGCAGTTACTTATCAGACTTTTGAAACAAGTCAAACTACATGACTGGACTAGCACAACACCGCGTAGCAAGGAAAGTCCATCCTCTCCTTTTTGCAGCAGTCACAAGGGAGACATTATTATAGGTAATAACAGCATAACATAGTTACCATCACCTCTACTACATGTACTATACAATACCTACTTGAGTAAAACTTTAAAAATAATATTGTGAAAGGATTGGGAGAACTTCAAATTCAATGTAAACTGTCAGGGGAAGTGAAGTGTTTTTTTTTAAAGAGGAAAATGCCAACTCTACCAGGACTCGAACCTGGTCACCTGGGCACTTCCTGACGGTTTACTTGAGTAAATGTTAATATTTAAACTTAGAATGTGTCTCAGATTGTACACGCCAGTAGTTTTATAATCATCTCGTCTAGCTTTAGCCTACTACTCATCACTCCGGCTTCCGGTACGCTTGTTGTTGCGATGACGACCATTGGCACTGGCAGCATTAGAGGCAGAGGATGAAAGACGGCGACGGCGATTGCAGGTCGGTGGACCATGGGACCACTGACCAAATGATTGGCACGTGACACGCATGCGACCGCTCCTCTGGTATCCAGGATCACATTTGTACATGATCTGCAGGAAACAGTCAATGGCGATGCGGATGTAGCGAGACACATGCATGCACAGACAGAGAGACAGTTAGATCAATAAACGCATGCACATAATAGTCACCGGCATATGTGGGGCGTTGTACATGTTTTGGTCAGCAGCTTGTTGCACATCAGCCTTACTAAATCAGTAGCGATGTGATAACGTAACCCAATATCATGACATGATATTGGGTACGTTGTGTAAATACATTGTATTTACTCAACTCGGATGTTGAGCCAATAATAAATGTAGAAATGAAAAGGACCTATGGATACAAGTTTTAAAGAGTAACTGTCCACCACTATAACTAGATACTATACAGTCAGGAAGTGCACCAACCAGGCACAAAACCGAAGGTTCCGAATTGGAAGGCTGTTGGTTAGCGCTACGGAGATGTGTTGAAGCTAGGTGTCAGGTCATCGAATGTCTCAGTACTCTGTCAGTTTTCATACTGAAGTACATGTAGGTCCTTTTCCTTTCTATATTTACTCAACATACAGGTACATCATTATGATAATTTGAAAATGATACTTGCAGAACTAACATATACATGTACCTTCAGTTTATTCACAAGCAACATTTCAAATATTTCCACAAGTACATGTACTTTCAACGCCTTCTCGTCGTGTTCTGTTCGTTAATCTCATTGAGGTTTTGCCGGTGTCCGAAACTTGAAAGCTATTAATTTTATGATGATTGCGTGCTGCATCGAGTCTAACAGATGTACACATCATATAGATAATAGAGCATATACGTATGCACAATGTCAATTGGATACTGTTGTAGACTCACCATAGATCCTACCCGTGTTCCTGTGTAGTATACACAGCCATTCATGATACCAGTTGGCGGGGGACACTCGATCTCTGTAACGCACAACAGCCCGAAAGTAGAATCACGTGACAAATGATGGCTGCGAGAGCTGGAGTAGATTATTAACAAAAGTCCTTTTCCCTCCCGTGGTTGGCTCTGTTAGAGCCTCGTAATTTTCACTTATTTGTATTGGCAATACATGTACCCGGAAACGCACCATGAAGTGAATTTTCAATGTCAGCTAAGTTGATTGTAAAATGCAACATGAGCACATGCACATTGTAGATCTACGTATTCGTATGGCATTACCTGCTTCACAGGTTGGTGGAGGGTTGGACCAAATCTGATTGAATTCACATTCTGCTTCGGACTCTCCAACTAGCTTGAAACCGGTGTTGCATTGATAGAATACCTAATCATGACCAGAGGAAAGAAACGGCAGCCGTACAGGACCACAGCACGATCAGGTGATCACACAATCACTTCTCAAGTTACCGACAGGAGCTTTGATTCTTCATGACATCATGCTAAATACTGAACATCATGTTTGTTCTTATACAAGTATGCCGGAGGAGTAACTTACTCTTGCTTTGCGGTGTTCATGGAACTAGCCTGTTTTATGATGTGCATAATTCTATGCCTGTCTCGTTTTTAGAGAAAGAACAGGCCGACAGCTGCTGCTTACCAGTCACCACCCTTACTATGTTAATACGAAGTACAACAAAATTAATGGTTTGGCTATGTACTGTGTTTTATGTGTGTGTCTGTCTGTAAGTCCATCTTACCTTGTCTCCAACTTGAAGCCCTGACCATGTCCTCTCTCCGCCTGTGATTGATGCTGGCATGTCACATGGAGCTACATGTGTTAGAATAGACCATGATGATGGGTGACAGAAAACGGACAAAAATCATGCCAGGATATCAGGCATGGAGAGACAGACAGACGGACAGACAGACAGACAGACAGACAGACAGACAAAACTATTGAGCAAGATTCGCCGCCCGTTGTAATTGTATGGTCTTGCGGATTTTGCACTCTTGCAGCTTGGATCCCACATTATACTGCCACAGTATCACACATTATACTCCCACATTATGCTCCAACAGTACCCCACATTATACTCCCACAGTATCCCACATTTAATATCTCACATTATGACCAAAAATCATGCTCCCACATCATCCCATATTATGCTCCAACATTATGCTCCCACATTATCTCACATCACGCTCCCATGTTATCCCACATTATGCTCCCACCTTATTCCACATTATGTACACTCTATGCATCCTGATTAGTGATCACACCCTAGCCCCTAGGCTATATTAGTTTCTTGAAGTTGAGCAGATTGAGTATTACCCCCAGGTTCTGTACAACTCAGTAGTAACGAAGTGGCACCGCTGCTAGCTATTATTTCACTCTCTTATCCGCAACAATGTCACTTATTGTGATAATGAGAGTGTGAAATACGAGTGACGTTGGACGGTATGTTCCACACTGCGCGTGTAAGGTAAATTATCATACGTACTGAGGACCGAGGTGTACCAGTGAAGGCTAAAAAAATCGACGGTTTCGCGTACCGGGCAGGTCAAGAACAAGGAGTCGTACAACTCCCTGGTCAAGAATCACCTTTGTGAAGGCTAAGGTTTAATACTTTAACGCTTTATCCCTACATGGTAATGCACATCAACCTGGATCCGACAACGCTATACTAGCACGAGTAGAATAATAATGGCGGTCCAATGATAATGCTCATGCTGAGAGTTGTTGTCAGACACAAACTTAATAGATAATAATTTTAAGATCGCATAGCTCGTAGAGGAAGCAAACTTACCATCTTTATCTGCTGCTTCCTGCAGCCGCTGAACTGGCCCGACAAAAGCACCTTTCACCCCTGGTCCTACGCCTGTATCGACGACCCCTTCCGTCCCTGGCCTTTGTCCGAGTTTATCCGCTTCCTTTCCCGGCTGTGCCCAATCAACGTAGTATCCTGTTGCATGGCACTGTCTGCAGGTCGTGGCCAGCACCGCCACACCTGCGTACAAGAACAGCATCCACGCTGCCATGCTGCTACGTCCTGCACTGGTCCGATTTGGCAGACTCGGCAACGTCACGGTGTTCATCCAATGCCCTAGCTCTACTAGCTTCTAGACAGTTGCAGTGGTGACGGGCTGGCGTGAATCCGGGCAACACTCACGCACTCAAGGGGAAATGATATAGGGAAGGTGAATGATAGGTCTTTCCACTGAATTGTAGACGTATGGACTGCAAGAAAATAATCAAAAGATTCAAAGCACATGCATGACATTGTTCAGTGGATCGACTCAATCTAGGTTCTCGATCCCTACAGCATTAGTACTAGTGCCTCGACAATTCTCACCACGACACGTAAATCGAGATGATTCGCACAACATCATCAACAGCAGACACACTCAACTTCGACAGGCCACACACTGTGATCGTCCTTGTCAAAATCATCATCACACATCCAGGTAGTAGATCTGCATATTTCACCTTATCCTTGCCCCTTTCATTTCCGCACCATTCTATCTCGTGTCGAGCTCCTGTGCCTGTTTTTACTTTCCCTCCCACCCCCCCCCCCCCACCCCTTTCCAACCCTCCTCAATACTATGTGACTTTGGTGGAGACGATACAGTAGAAACAGTAGTCTGGCTGACCTGGGGATATGTACGCAATGACGTGCGCACGTCATCACTGCCAATCCAGAGCACAATCAGCTTCCCACGACGTCTTATCACTCACCTGTACTGCTGTAGACACGTTTCACGGGACAAGACGCTCCGATCCGGGAGCTACCACAGCATTTGACTTTTTGAAAATCCGTCTCTCCCAAAGCCCAGGTTTTCTTTACGATAGAGAAGATGTTCTTCAGAATTTATACTGCGCTTGGTTGCTTCGATGCAGACACTGAGCTTGACATTTGACAAAATTCAATTCGCAAGCACCACAATGTTGGAACTGCGTGAACTTTGCATGGTCCAGGGACAGGTGATGATGTTCGGAGGTGTGCGGTGGCATTGGTAAACGATATTCGTATGACCATGTTGTTGCTGAAGTGGGCGCCCGAAGAAAATAGCTTTGACGAGGTCCGTCCACACAGCCAGCCTGATTGGGGTGAGGCATCATCTTCCACACTCCTTTGTCCCTAAATTGTCCACCTCTTGAGATGAACTACAGCCGTAGGAGGAGGTAATGTGGATAATTAGGTGACGTAGTCGATCAAACAGAATGTTTGTGGCAGCAGAGCCATGTGTCAGCTCTCTGTTGTTCTCACCTAGGCTACCACAGCGATGAGTCACTCCTTTTAAAAAGCACATTGCACAATCGGCATGTTTACTGCTGTGCTAAATTCATTCTTCTCTCACTCGTGATTGACCTACAGCAGAGGGTCGTTTATGGTCGTGCAACAAGTTACAGAGCACATCAATTGGCAATTACTTGTGATGACTGTCTGGCCATACATCGTGCACTTGATCATCTGGAAGTGTTACTTGCTTCGAAAGGATTAGGGAATATTAGTAGGCTTTGCGAGAGTTATGCCTAATCTGCATGCCTGGTAAGGATCTGCTATGAGAAGTGTTGAGCCTGTGGGTAGAGCTTGTTCCAATATCACTCATCAGCCGCTGCTGCTGCTTCTGCTGCTTCTGCTGCTGGGACATGTCGAGCGAGCTACATGTAGATGCTGTAGGGCAGGTAAAAGAGGAAGAATCCAGGAATGAAACATTATGTGTACTCATCAATTCTTATCCTAGACGTGCCGAGCCTCACCCTTTTTGAAATAATACAATTAAATACACAAGAGAGAGAGAGTGGAAGCTTTGTTACAACTCTGAGTTTCACGTATTACTACGATCATCAGGCAACTGATGGATCCAAAACGGGCAGCCAAAACATAAGGGGGAGCAAGGTGGGAAATTCTGAGGGGTATCATGGGCGACGCGTATCATAGCGCAAGAGTCAGGTGCAGGCTTCACCTCCAATCATTTGGTATTAGTGTTGGGAAGAAGGTTCGAAGGTTCGAATGATCTTCGTTTTCGAATTCAAGAGAAGGAATGTTCAATTCAAAAGAACCTTATTGTAACTATCTGGTATGATGATGCCCTTCTGGGTGAACATTTGGAAAAAAACTCGCTGTACGTGGTGTAGCCAAGGACTGTTCGTGTGTTGCGGATAGGAGGTGAAGTGAATAGAACTGCCATGTACAGTGGAGTAGTCTGTACATACAATTCAGAATCAGGGATGTGTACCCGTACAGGCGTACAGTACTAAACATGCAGTAACATAATACCAAGAGTACATTGTACTGTTGAGATACCGAATTCAATAATAATAAATCAATACCATACCATAACACCCGGGGTTATGTACTCTTGGTAATACTATGGTCTATACCGGCATCATGGTCGAATCCCGGTTGTGACTTGTAAGTTGTAACGCCTTCTTTGACCATGATTGTGAGCAACTTAGCACTATGATGGTAACATGGGGAAAGGAGGGAAGGAACAAGACAAGACGAAAGCCAGATGAACGCAGAAATTGCAATGCATACATGGATATGGATTATGGACTGAATGAAGTTGTAAAGTAACCACTGGAAACGTTTGTCACCTCACCCTTGAAAAGAGGGAAGATGGCAGACACCTTACAAGAGGCGTTGTCCGTCCTTCTGAATACCAAGAGGAAAAATAACGAATTGGGGGTGTAAAACTATAAAATTTAATGTACATAAACCTTAGTGTTTCGGACGAAACCAAGGTCCAGCAGTAGCATAGCATCCATTTCCCTCCATCACTGTGCTTGCTGATAACCCGGCCCTTGAAACATTGCTTCCAGAACCAGGATTATTTAATTAAACCCCATGCAGAGGTCGGAGCAATCAATGTTCGTGCTTGGACATTCTTTCGGACTTACCCGCCACATGATTGCAAGCATACAGTGACTGTGAATCCTTATGGATAGGAATGTAGAGAAACCACACAATGAACAGCACAATCAGTCATAATGACATCGTGACATACACGTGCATGTAACCTACCATACGTCAGTTTAATTATTGGCACATAGCACAGTTTAATTATAATAATGGCAATCAAGCATGATTGACACTTCAGTTTAGTAGTGGACAAGTACATGCACCAATACACGCACGTGTACGTAAGGCAAGGGCTCCAGGGAGTGCTATGGCACTCTTCACCGGCTGATGGCTGATGGCGCAATGAAGTCTTGTATTCTTCCAGGAGTAACTAAGGTCCATGGTCGCGCATTATGAACAGTTCCATGGTCGCACTCTACTGGGAACTACTTGAGGATATGAAAGTGGTATTCATAATGCTAGTGCAATATGAATCTTCACTATGAATAGAAGGAATTTTAATTTTAATTCTTTGGGAGCTGGGGAGAGAAATGAGAGCATTCCTGCCTCCGTCCAGCGCGCTCTTCAAGACGGTTCATAGCATCCATTTTGCATTCACGACGTTAATAAGGCGTCTGTATCTGGTGGTTTAGGGGTTCACGCCTACGCTGTTCCTGATTGCACCCAAGAGCATCATTATCATCATCATCATCATCATCATCATCATCATATTTTAATAAATGATTTTACTCGTAGTATCGTATTACTATTAGCTCATCAGATAAGGGGTGAATTCCCTGAAACACAGTGTATTACTATTATGCAGAGAGTGGTGCCCTATTACAGGTCTCAGTGGAGGGTTCTACCAGTACCTGATTCTCGCGTGTTTCAGACGGCGGCCGTGAGCCAGCCAAGTGTCAATGATGGGAGGTACAGCGTTTAGAGCTAACCCTTCATCGAGTATTGTACTCGATATCCGAATCTGTTTGTTTGTTTTTCTTTCTTTCTTTCTATTTGTCATTGTGGACATGCACTGATGGCATTAATCAGTGCATAATCTCACCGGCCTATCGCTTATCTTGTTCTTTGCTGTCCGGCCTGTTGAGAGTACATTGTATTATGGTGCTGATCCTGAAATAGAAATACCTGCGGTTGGCTACTACTGATCAGTCGATTTGTCACTCAGGATTTGTGAAAGCAAGGGAAACACTGTACCGGTAACCGTATTATCTTTGGCTTCTCGTTCTGAGTTACTAGGGACGCTCTTGTGAACTTAAGTTAGTTGGGAATCTTGGAAGGTTTCTTTTATAGCCAGAAGATCTCCCAAGTCAGTTGAAGACGTACCGGTGATATGCAGCAGGAATACGAACATGGGACATGGAACGATGAATCTTACTGTTTGTGAGTTTGTTCTTCATGCCATTGCTCCTTCTTCCCACTCGATCAGCGTATCACAAATGCTGGCGTGTTAGATAGTGGAAATCCAAGATGGGTTCATGCGAACTGTTACACTGACCCTTTGCGTAGGGTGCAGCTAGTTTTGTAGCAAATTCTGCACTGGTTTTAATAGACCTGATCAATTGCGATCTTTTCCATCAGAATATCTCAGTGCTTATTACAATGTATACCCGGTAACCGGGTATACAATGTAATACTGTTAATCGTGGAACTGCATGTGCTGTGGTGGTAGCATAATGTGCTCTCAGCAGCTGTGCGAGTGCTACTATAGCTCTCATTCCACCCACACTGCACACTGCTGTTGAAGTAAAGTCGCCTTAGTGGGTTCCGGGTACGCGCGGACATCACGAATGCACAGGTAAATAATAATTTCAGTCAACGTGGGAATCCTTTGTATGCGGTCACATGCACAGTTGCAGGCGTCGGGTTTTTATTTTTATTTTTATTTATTAATTTCTGCACCTCGTGGCATGTCAAGACAGCCAATTGAATTGAGGAGAGGGTGAGACCAACCACGGAAGAAGAGAAAAAAGAAAATGAAGAGCACGTACACAAAGTGGGAAGGGATTAGCAACTTACAAAGCAATGGGATGCTCAGCGAGCTATGCAGCGGAAGTGGTGACTGTGACTTTGTTTACTGGGAGATACTGAAGTGCTGTCTGACGAGGGTACGGAATTGGGGCATATCTGGAGCTTGTCTAACACTGGGAGGCAGTTGGAGCCACGTGGAGTAGGAGGAAAATAAAGGGGAATTTACGAATAGGGTAGACCTAGCTAGGGGGAGACGAACGCAGCTTCGGGTGGTGCCACCTGAATTGAGCCAATTAAGGGACTGTAAATGAGCAGGGTGCTGGTCAAGGAAAATTGAATGTGCCAGGGTGCACTTGGAAGCATCAAGGTAATGTTGCAGAGTGGTAGTGGATGCAGCAGCATACAAGTCTAGATTTGAGATATAACGATCAGTACGAAATATGATTCGCAGTATACGGCGATGGAGAACTTCTAATTTACCTATGTGGGTTTTGTTAATGGTGGACCAGGCAGGGAAGCCGTACGTGAAGAGGGGAAGAATGTATGATTTATAAAAATTAATCCGGCAATTTTTGGGCAAATGGGACAAGTGACTTGACATTATGCCGACAGATCGGCATACTTTGGACGACACATGATCAGCATGGTGAGACCAGGAGAGGGCGGAATCTATGACAATGCCAAGGTGTTTATGGTGGGGCGCTACAGAGATAGGGTGACCGGGATCATCGGGAAAGTGGAAGATGGGCACTGGATCTGTGGGAGGGGAAAAAAGGAGGAGCTCGGTTTTGGTCACATTTGGCTTAAGGTACCAAGTGCTCATCCAGTGAACAATGTCGTTGATACAGGTCTGAACTTTGGGGTTCAGTTATGACGCGCGTGGTATCCGCGTGTCAGCTGTAGCACCTACTCCACTTTTATGTTGATATATCCATGTTATGTCATTCGGATCTTCCCAAGTCATTGTACTGTTGAGATACCGAATTCAAATAAATCAATACCAATACCATACCGTGTATCCGGAACCCACTGCCGGTAACACGACTGCATTGTACTTGAAAATACTTAGTTTTTGTCATGCAAGGCCAAACTGACAAAAAGTGTTT